CTGGATTTACATATCTAGTCCCGCCCCTGCGGACACCTAGGCCGATATGAAGGCCAAGCCGATTACACTTCCAGCCATCTCGGGCAAATGTGCATCGGAGCCTGGGCTCTCCCAGTCTCTGTCTCAGCTGGCAACAGTTAAAAGAATGCCCAGGTGCCTTCCCAGGTGGCCCTCTACAGGGTGGTTGGTTGGTTTTTCTTACAGTAAAATCAAAGCTGTTTGCAAGGACTCTGGCTGCTCTCCAGACTACTGGTAGGCACTGAGGCATGCTGACTGGACACGGTGTGGAAAGTTAGAGGACTTTCGTTAACTCAGCTTGATGAGCCGTGGGAGCCCACGGGGATGACTTTCATGACATGCCAGTGAGTCACTGGCCAAAGTCACAGAGGTTCACAAAGGCTTCGTGTCTGTCCTGTGCCTTCAGGGAGGGGCCCTAGCTAGGGATAAGAAAGGGGAAATGGAGTCAGCAGCTAAGGACAGGAGGGAAGGTTAGAAAGGAAGAAAGCAGGTCCCTCCTGCCATTCCTTTGCCCTGTGCATGGGGCCGGCTGGGTTCTCACTGCAGGACCAGCTGTCTGAGTGCTTACCTGTCCTGCAAGGCGCCATGTTTGGTCTGCAGGGATCTGACCCTGCAGACGGTGGACAAGCCTCAGGGGAGGAGTGACACACACAAACCCACAGGGGAGTCTGGGAAGGAATCGCCTCCCTCTTGGCCTGTTTCAGGAGTGGAGGCAGGAAGGCAAGGAATGGTGAGACAACCCAAATGTGGGCGCTGGGACTGTGCACCTGGCAGCCTCCAGGCCCTGCGTGTGGTGGCGGTTCACTGATTTACTGCTGGCCAGGGAACGGTGGGCTGTGCTGGGGCGAGGGGGAGCACGGAAGGCTTGGGGATGGTTAGGAAGTTGCCAGTCACTATTCCTCCAGGGGCCAGGAGACGGAAGAGGGCCAGGAAAGGCCAAGGTGGGGACTGGTGGGTGCTAATCGAGGAGGCTGAGCCAGAATTAGGGACTCTGACATCCTTCTGGCCAGGGCTCCCTCTCTGGCCTCTGTTCTCCTCTCCTGCAGCCCAGAGAGTTTGGGGAGGAGTCAGTGTACACAGGGGAGGCAGCAAGATGTCCCTGCCCTGTCCTCCAGGAGCCACAGGCAAAGCCCGCCCTCCAGAACTGCCTCCCAGCGGAGATGGGACTGCCCTCTTACTTGTCACTCTCAAGGGACCATCACCACATTAAGGAGACAGCGACCCCTCTCTCCTGAGCGAGCTGATGCACATTCAAAGTTCACACAGCAAGTGAGGAATCCCTTGGGCCCGGGAAACCCAACCACAGGAGAGGCTGGGCTCGGGAGCCCTGGGACATGAACCTCGCCCACGCTGGCTCGCCTGGCAGTCTCTACAGATTCCTCATTTTCAAAGTCCCATGGGCCTGACTCACCAGGCGTTACTATGGTCAGATGGTCTGAACCACCTGAGCAAAGTGGGTGAAGTGGGGGGAAGGGTACTATCGGGTCAGGGAAGAAGCAGGTTTGTTTGACTTTGTGTCTCCTCCGGACCTGAGCCTTCCGGTGGCCCCTCCATCTCCCCTTCCCTCCCCCAGAACCTCCAGGGAAGGCACCCCAGGGATGCCCACTTTCCAGAGAAGAACACGGAGGCACCGGAGTCCAGCGCTGCCCAGGGTCTGAGCCAGGCTCTGCCTCTGCCTCCCAGCCTGGTTTCTGGTTCTTTTTCTTTTTTAACATTTATTTGGGGATGACTTCAAACGTACACAAGGAGCACCAGAATAAGGGTAGGCGTGTAGGATCTCTTCCCCGGGTTCACGGACCGCTACCTTCCAGCCCACCTGCCCTGGCTCCCCTCTCTCTCTGATTGATTTCCCTCGGAACCGCCCGAGGACCCACACCGGGCCCTTTCCTCCGAGCCTGGGTGAGCAGAGCCCGGAGCCCAGGCCCAGGGTCCCGGTCCCAGCGCCCCGGTGGGGCTGCCCCTGTGGGCGGGGCGGGAGGCCCCCGGCCGCCTACCTGGTCGGCGATGGCCTGGATCTCGTCCGTGGCGGGCTTGGTGTCAGAGGTTCCACCGCACCGAATCATGGCGGAGCAGCGGGCACGGAGCTGGGAGCAGCGGCCGGGGAGTGAGATCAGCTGCGGAGACAGTAGCTGCTAAGCTGGAGCTCGGCCTCCCTCTTAAACCCGCCGTCAGCTGACGCGGGCGGAGGCGCGGGGAGGAGGCGGTCCGGTGGGCGGGGCCCCTGTGCGGGTTGGGGGTGGGGTGGGGTGGGGGGAGATGTGGGAGGGACAAGCGCCTTGCACAATCTGGAACCCCGCGGAGGGCGCCGCCTGTGCTGCAGGCAGTGCCTGCACCCTGTTTGGTGTGGGTCTGCTTGGCCTTGGAGACAAGCTGGGCGCCTCCAAAACACACCACTTTCACCTGTTGATTCTGCTGAGCAGAGGGCCATCAAGACCCAGCCTTTGGGGTGGAGAGAACTTTCACCTTGCCCTTCACGGCATGTAGGTACGGCCTTGGACCATGTGGCTCAGTCGTTGGTAGCTTTCCCCTGTGCACCAAAGGGTCGTGGGTTCAACTTCGTGTTCCCTGTCCCCAGGGGGCCCTAAACTGTAGACAACTGATCCATGTTTTTCTCTCACATTGATGTTCCTCTCTTGCTCTCCCTCTCCATTCCTTTCTCTAAAATAAAGGAAGGGAGTGGGGAGGGACAAAAAATGAAATGATTACATTAAAATCATGTAGGTAGGGAGCCTGGTCCAGAAAGAGATCAAAGATCAGAGGTCATTTTTTTTTTAATGTGACGCTTGCCTGCATGGCAGGCAGACAGCTGGCTATCACACTTCTGCTCTCGCATCTTCCTGTGATGTGTCCTCCTTCCCTTTGAAGCTGCAGACCCACGACCTGGGCCTTAGCTCTGGAAGCTACAAACTCCGAACTCCGCTGCCACTGCCGGCAGGGCAGGTTCCGGGTGGGAGAGACCCAGAGGTGAGTGGGAGCCGGACCTGAGAGTCCCCAAGAGCAGGAGGGAGAGAAGTCTGTGCTCCGGAAGGAGCTGGGGGACAGAGACCGCCAGGGCATCCTGGAGTCCAGGACCGGGCCCTGCCTGGCCTCACTCCACAGTGCCTTGGACTGCTCTGCACTTCTCATCTGCGAGACCTGGCCAAGCAGCCAGCTTGCACCAGCCACTCTGGGTGTCACCAGTGTGTGACCCAGGGTCACACGGTGAAGGGCTGATGGTGTGTGAGCTAGGAGGCACAAAGGAGTCCAGTGAGGAGATGCCTGCCAGGGCCTCAGGTTGGAGTGGGAGTAGCATTCAGGCTGCACCCCTCCCCCACTCCAGGGCTGCACCTCAGGGGATGCTGGGCCTCTCCCACCCCTGGGTGCTGACTGCAGGAGCAGGCCCAGCCTTGCCTTCTGTAGGGCTCAGTGCGGAACCCCAATGGGAGTGGCCCATGAGCAGGAAAGTGGGAGAGGCAAGCTTTTCTGGTACCTGCCAGGGAAGAGCCTGATTTGTAATTCCAGGAAGGGTGGGAGGCCAGGTGTGGAGGGGAAGGAGAGACCCCTACAATTCAGTCATGAATGAATGAATGACTGAATGAATGAATGTGTGAATGAAAAAGGGGCTACACAGCAGACCGGACAAGCTCGGGGCGCTGCTAGGTGAGCCTGACAGTAACCACAAAGGTGATTCGATAATAAATTCCTAGCCGGGCAGGTCGTGCGGGCAATCACATCCCACGCCCATAGCTTCCTGGTAAAGATCAATCTTTACCTTAAGCAAGCCCTGCCCATTGTTCTTATGCACCTAGGAAAGATACCTCTGATAAGTCAGCGTGAATTTCTTGTCCAAACCCCTCGGAGGCATAACCACAGTGGCACCAGTTATGCTGTTGCCCACAATTCATCTCTACTTACTGTAAATGTTAACTATCCTTTACTCACTAATGTAAAGGAAGTGGGTGTTTCTCCATTTTGGGTCCTGTGTTTTCCATTTTGACACCTTACATGTGCTGTCAGAGCTCCGTGCGGGGGAGGTAAGTGTGGCCTGTGTGACTTCACCTGGAGAGGATTCTGGAAGCCTCCTCCCGGTGTCTCCTGGACCTTTTCCTGTGCTGTTTGCTGTGTGTCCGTTTGCCATAAGAAACCACAGCCCTCCATCCTGGTAGCCTAGTGGTGGGTCTACAGGCTTAGGGTTCCCTGACACGCGGCCCTTTACAGGAAAAATCTGCTGAGTCCATTCTGCATGAACATAAACACAACATTGTCACACCTAAGAAAATAAAAAATTGTTCTGCACTATAGTCCAACATCTAGTCTATATGCAAACTTTCCCAGTTGATCCCAAATGACTTATAGAGCTTTTTCTTTGAACCTGATCCAACCAAGATTTGTATATGCAACTATGTGAAGGAGTATATCCCCTCCTTTACATAGGCGTTCCTTCCTTCCTTCATCCATGACTTTAGCTCTGAAGATATTAGGATGGTTGTCTTGCCAACTGTCCCAGACTAGGGTGGTGATTGTCTTCTGTGCTCCTTGCTCGGCCTTCCTATGTCCTGAAAACGAGGTTCAGTCCTGAAGGCTGGATGAGGGTCAGCCTTGACTGCCCACAGGTGCTGCTGCTGCGTGGGAGGGGCCATCGGCCCACAGGGGCAGGCCATTGGGGGCGGGGACTGATAGCTGAGACCACCTTTCTTTAGCCCTTGTGCCATTTTCTGACGACTTTCGCCCTGAATCAAAGATTTACTGGGTGCTGTACAGATTTTTCTCCAATTCTACCATTTCTTCCATCTGTGCTCGCTGGCATTCTTTGCTAAAGAACCTTCTTGTCATCAACCAGGTTAAACTACCGCTTCCCCCTGAAAGGCGGGCACAGGCTTAGTGACCCTTTAATTACAACTGTCTAATGCTGTCATTGCTGTGTCCGGCCACTACGGGGCGGTGGCGTGCGGCCGGGGAGAGGCCCTTCTATGCGCCCGTAGTCAGAGAGTGCGCCCTGGCCAGGCCGGCGCGGTCGTGTGACGTCACACCGCGCGACAGGGCGAAGCGCAGCGGCCCGGGCGCAGGTACCTGGAGTTCTCAGTGCGATCGCCATGGTCCCGCAGCTTCCCCCTGAGATCCAGCTGGCGCAGCGCCTGGCAGGGAACGAGCAGGTGACCCGGGACCGGGCGGTGAGGAAGCTCCGGAAATACATCGTCGCCAGGACTCAGCGGGCTGCAGGTTGGCGCGGGGCCGGCGGGGCCGCCCCGGGGACTGGGCCTGCCGGGTGGGGGCGCGGCGCGGCGGGGGCGGTCCCGGCCGGGTGGCCTCCGAACCACGCGGTCCGGCGCGCCTGCGGGGGTATTTTCCACGGCCGCTCCCCGCGGCATTTGTCACTTGTCACTGTTAATGCGCCTTGTGTAAGTGTTGGGCTGTCATTTGAGTTTCACTGGTGCGTACGCTCCGCCAGAGCAGAGAACATGCTTGTTAACTGGTCTTTGCTGTAACAGTGGTTCTCAAAGTGTGGTACTCCATCGGCAACTTCGGGGTCGCCGGACGTTCGTTGGAAATGCAATTTCTTCTTCTTCTTCTTCTTCTTCTTCTTCTTCTTCTTCTTCTTCTTCTTTTTTTTTTAAACAAAATGTATATGTTTTATTACATTGAGGAAGAGAGAGGGAAAGAGAGTTAGAAACATCGATGAGAGAGAATCATCAATGACTACGGGCGCATAGAAGGGCCTCTTGCACACCTCCCACTGGGAATGTGCCCGTAACCAAGTTACATGCCCTTAACCGGAATCGAACCCAGGACCTTTCAGTCCACAGACAGATGCTCTTTCCACTGAGCCAAACCGGTTTTGGCTGGAAATGCAATTTCTTGGTTGCCTCCCAGCCTTGCTGAATCAGAAACTGGCCGCAGGGTTGGCGACCCGTGTGTTAGGAAGCCCCCGGGTGATTCTAGCACTAGTGCTCAGGTCTGAGAACCACGGCTCATTAAATAAACACAGTGCCAGACACAGAAACTCAGTCAATATTTAGAGTGATTGTATGTGTCTTCTTCCCGTACTGGCCTGATGACGTAACCTTTTCTTTTGAAATTTGAAATCTGCAGAAAGGTGCACAAACCCCAAGTGTAACGCTGGATGAATTAAAATTCACCTGGGTAGCCAGCTGCCGTCCAACTCAGGACATAGTGACTCACTCAGTTTTGAATCTCCAAAAATGTACAGTTTTGGAGGTTCTCAGTTTTTATTGAAAGAATGAGATGGCAGTTACTTGGGGGAGTCCCTGCGGGCCCACGCCCAGTGGATTCCGAGTTAGGAGAATGTCTTGAGAGGAGAGGGAAGGTACCTTCGTTTCTGGAACTAATACGCTGGGGTCCACGTAATCTGAGCATTGCCGTTTTGATGCAGGTGGTTTCACTCATGACGAGCTGCTGAAGGTGTGGAAAGGACTCTTTTATTGCATGTGGATGCAGGACAAGCCGCTCCTCCAGGTGAGTGTATGGGAAGGCAGAAGAAGCTGGAGCAGCAGCAGCGTCAGGAGGAGGCCAGGTGGGCCTGTGGTGGACTCTGGGCGAAGATTACAGCTTTTTTATTTATTTATGGCAGGAAGGTGAGGGCCTTCGTTTAGAGAGGGTCTTGGACATGTTAAGTTGAGCACCATAGCCACACAGCTGCTCACCAGTGCAAGTCAGAGTAGTTTCAGTGCCCTAAAATGCTAGCCTTTGTAAAGCTCAGTGTTTATTATTTATTAGAATATGAATTGTTTACTCTTCTTTAAGATCCCTTGGGTGTTGGGGCAGTAAAGTGCAGAATCCTGCGCTGTATTCCATGCCCACTAAACTGGAGTCACAGGGAAGGCTCTGGAATTATCCCTTTAGGAAGTGCACTGAGTGCTGCTTGGCCAGTGGCACAGCAGGCAGTGAGAAAGTTAGACGGGTCTGGTGGCTCCCTCTTTGTGCTGGTCAGGTGGCTGCATGTCCCGCACCTGTCTTCTCTCATTCTCCTTTGACGGCCAACCTCTGTTGCTCAGGGCTCAGCGGGATCATGCGGGCAATTACTGCCCTGTTGCCAGGTTCTGTTGGCCCAGCTGTAGAGTGAAGCCCTTCATAGCAGGGATGTAGCTTGCAGCCTCACGCACTCTGGGCTGAAGCTGCCAGGGAAGCCTGTGCCCTGGCGGGTGGCATTGAGTGTGCTGCCTGTTGTTGTGAGACTGCGTTTCCTCAGAGGCTGAAGGAGATTATTTTACTGTTTCCTGCACAGGAGGAACTAGGAAGGACCATTTCCCAGCTTGTCCATGCTTTTCAAACCACAGAGGCACGTGAGTATCCTTACCCCGTGGGAAGGCCAGAACCACTGAGTCAGTAGCTACCACACACAGAAGCCTAAGCTCAGATCTAGAGCAAGAGAGAAGTCCCCATTGTAGCTGGTGTCTGCTGGTGCTTATGTGTGAAACACTTCAACTCGTGTAAACCGCTTTACCTAAAATACACTCAGCTCAAAAGTCCAAAGGTCTAAAACCCTACATTTTAACGTTAAAATGGCAAGCTAGTGTGGTGTTACCAAGCTGCCGGACTGAATCTCATCCGATCGTTGTGGAGTTCCTCCGTGAGCTTTTGTTTCCTTCTGACCACGATCAGTAGTTGTCAACACTGCCGCTTGCCCATGGGGGTCACTTGGGAGTCTTTAGAGTCTTGATGTCCAGACCCTGCTGTCCTTACATGGAAATCTGAGGGTGGGGCCTAGGCCCCTGCATTGTGCCTCCCTCTGCTGCCGTAAGGTGGCATCACCGGCATAGGCACTAGGACCGTTGCTAGCGGGTTTAGTTCAGACTTAAATAGGCAAAGGATCTGGGGGTGGGGAGTGGGGCCTGCACAGAAATCACAGGAACTACTTCCTCAACTTGGCAGAGTGTAAGGAGAATATCTTCCTTCTGTACTTTTTACCTCCTAAGAACCTGCAGGAGAGTCTGCTCAGCAAAAGGCAAAGTAGAGAGTGTTCACCTAGTGACACAGGAATGCGTCAGTGAACGCAGGCCCGTCCGTTGCTGAGCCATCTGATCAATTTTTTGCTGTTGGAGAAGCCGTAAGGCGGATAAGAGGTGCCCCTTTGTGTCCTGATGGCAGGGTGAGGGCAGGGCTGGTTTCTCCTGGGGCCTCTTTCTTTGGCATGTAGATGCTGTCTTCTCCCTGTGCCCTCACATGATTGTCCCTCCGTGTCTGTATCCTGATCCCATCTTACAAGGACAGAAGTCTGATTGGATGAGGGCCCACACCAGTGACCTTATTTTATCTTAACTACCCCTTTAAAGACCATATCTATAATAATAAAAGTGTAATATGCTAATTAGACTGGACGCCCAGCCGGGCTGCAAGGGAAGCCTGGGTCCCGGGTGCCTGCCGGGGCCGGAGGGAAGCCGGTGCTGGCGGCCAGGGGAAGGAAGGCCTCCTTGTGCATCGGGCCTCTAGTATTCAAATAAAGCCCTATTTCTAGGTATGGGGGTCAGAGCTTCACCACAGGCGTCTGTGGGGCATAGCCAGCCCTAGTGCTCTGGCACAGCCATTGTCAGCAGGGTTTTGTGTTTGGTTGGTTAGTACGGCTGGTGGGGCAAGAGGCGAGGTCCTGAATGGGTGTCAGGCAGGGCCTCAGCCCAGCCACAGGGAGGCCGAGGGCCTGGGGAGGAAGTGGCCTGAGCAGCCTCCTTTGTTGCTGCTGGCTTTGCAGGCCTCTGCACCTGCTCTTCAGAGAATGTGGCTGCCGCGCAGAGGTGTAGGGGATCTCTGCTTTTCTTTCTGAGATTCCTCATTGCTCCATCTCTAAGCCAGATTCTCAGCTCAGCAGACTCAGACTGAGAATGGCAGGGGTTGGTTGCACACAATGCCCTGACCAGTTTCTCATGATTCTGTCCTTTTACTTTCCAAAGTAGCTTCTGTAGCCCTCCATGATTCTCTTGTGGCCCCTTTTCCTCCCCAGAGCACCTGTTCCTTCAGACCTTCTGGCAGACCATGAACCGCGAGTGGACGGGCATAGACAGGCTGCGCCTGGATAAGTTCTACATGGTGAGGAAGCAGCCTGTGCCCCTCAGCCAGGTCCCCTGCGGTGCCAGAGTGGTGGGGGGCGGGGGGGGGGGGAGAGCAGGTCTGAGCACCCAGAGAGTTGGGGAGGACGGGCTGGGGGTGCAGCATAGAGTGTTCTGGCCTTTGAGCCTTCACTCACTCCAACAGGGCAGAGCTAAAGGCTCTGGTCAGTGCGGCCACTCTGACCACTGACCCATTAGCCTGGTGGTCGAACGGGAAGCCTAGGTCTTGTTCGGTAGGCACAAGCGCTTGGAAAGCTGGGCATCCCAGCCCCAAGTTCTGAGGGCTTGGTGTCCTGTCCTCCTCCAGCTCTGGGGCCTGCTGTGTGTTTGGGGCTCGCAGACGACCCCGGGGCAGAGGGGCAGTCTGAGGGGGGTTGGGCAGAGGGGCAGTCTGGGGGGGTTGGGCAGAAGGGCAGTCTGGGTTGCGCTGCACTAACGGCCTCCTTCTGTGCACAGCTCATGCGGATGGTCCTGAAGGAGTCCTTCAAGGCCCTGAGAATGCGGGCGTGGGAGGAAAGGTCAGTATCGCAGCGCGTCCCGAGGCTGCTGCTCGTGGCCCGTCTGGGTTTCTGTCTGGGGATCAGGTTCACAGGTTCTCTCTCAGTTATTAGTTGTAAAGGAGACGTCACCTTAACATTAAAGAGTGACCGATGGCATTTAAAATGAAGGTGTTTTAAAAATTACAGTTTGCATGTGTTCATGTAAATATTTGTTTTCAACCTGATGCTAAGTTGTGCATTAGAATTGAGTTCTCACATAAAAAATACCGTGTATTCGTGTTTAGCTCTTATCAAAGATCATTGTTCCGGTTCTAGAAATAGTTGCCCAGACTCCTCACTGTGCCAGTCGTGCTTGTGATGGGGTAATGTGTGTCCTCTAACCTGCCAAGGGCCTCCGTTCCTGCTGGCACAGGCAGAGCCGCTCTGCCGCATGGGCGGCCTGGGCTCTGCTCTTCCGGCCCCTCCTGGGACCGGGTAGGGCCGTTCCAGCCGCCTGGCCTGGAGCTGTGCATCCAGCTGAAGGGGAGCAGGTTTCTAACCTCGGGGGGGGGAGGCGGGGGGCAGACTGAGATCTAACACACAAAGTGGGTTTCTGAATGTTCACTTTAAAATTTTTAAAAATTAATCTAATTTGGTTTCTCTATAATTGTTTTCTAATTTCGAGAGTGATACACGTTAGGTATAAAGAACTCAGAATTTATAAGACATTAAAAAGCGACTTTAACTCCAACAGACACCTTTTAAGATGCTACATTGCTTTGTGCACATGGTACGCACGTGGTGTAATTCAAACATGACATCTGCAGGCTGCTCTTTATTTTATTGAGGATGCACCAGAAACATCTTGCCCGATTGTAGGGCAGGGGTGGGGAAGACAGGAGAAAAGGGGCTCAGAAACAGAGTATTTTGAATTGATTTATAAGTTAAAGTGTACATTAAAGGAGTTAATTTCAAGTATGTGGATACTAAATCAGTCCCCAGATGCTAGAATAGCTACTGAACCAGAGACTTCAGCTTACAGCCCCAAGTGTGCTTGGACTTTTTTTTTTTTTTTTTTTTTTTAATATATTTTCTTATTGATTTTTTACAGAGAGGAAGGGAGAGAGATAGAGAGCTAGAAACATTGATGAGAGAGAAACATCGACCAGCTGCCTCTTGCACACCCCCTACCGGGGATGTGCCCGCAACCAAGGTACATGCCCTTGACCAGAATCGAACCCAGGACCTTTCAGTCCGCAGACCGACGGTCTACCACTGAGCCAAACCGGTTTCGGCTGCTTGGACTTTTTACCTTTGGAAAACAACATTAGCAAAACCTTGGCCCTGCCCGTTTTTCCCATGTAAAAAAGATCAGGAGGAGTTGGACTGTAGTTAGCTGATCGTTTGTTTGTTTGTTTGTTTGTTCAGAGGCCTTGTGGGTGACTTATGTTGGGGTACGAGTTCTTTGGTTTTGAGTGGGGTCAGCACTAAGTCCCCAGGAGAACATTGAGGCCTGGGGGTCTCCCTCAGGTCAGGACCTTGGGCTGTGGGTTCCCCAGGAGCAGCTAGTGACGGGAGCGGAATTCAGTGGTAAAGGCACGGTTGTACTTGAGTTAACTTCCTGTTGGTTTGTGATTACGGAGGTAGCTTCGTCCTCATTGTTGTAGAGGTTCAGTGCAGGGATCATGTTTGAGCATGTGGCCTCCCGTTGCCTGGGTGACATTGCTGTGTGCCCTCTGCTACCCTTCTCGGCCCTGACCCGCATCTGTGACCAGCTTGTTTTTTGGTAAGCGTTCCTTAGCGTGGTCAGCAGCCCTGGGAGGACGGCTCTTGCACTTGCTCTGGCTCGACTCCTTTTTCCCACTTTTCCTTCCCAAATGCTGAATCCCTCCTGTTGCCACACACCCACACATCCGGGCAGCCCCTTACAGAATGCCCACTTTCCAGCTCGGGGAGAGATCTGTGTGTCATCAGATGCATGTAGACCCTGAAGATTGGCCTCCGAGCTCTCCAATCTGGGAGACAGGCCTGTGTGGTCACTGAAACCAACGTGCCAGGCAGTGGTCTGGTGTGACCTTCACGGGCGAGTACTCAGTGAAGCAGCGCCTGGGAGCAGGCTCATGCCCGTGTGTGGCCTCCGTCTCCTTCCTTGGCACTGCTGGGTCCTGGTGTGCCTTCCTGAGCAGCTCCCAGCGAGGACAGAGGGAGGGGTGCGGACAGCAGGTGGTGCTACCTCCTGTCGCCCCAGCCTCTCCCTGCACTCGGGACAGGGAGGGCCTGTGGGTGCTCACACATCTTGCACTTTGTAGCTGAGTTTGAGTCAGGCCGTATGTTCTGGTGCTGGGAAGGTCATGTGACCCGGTAATTGCCAGGGTCCTTTGTCCTGGAAGACTGCGTGCCGCCGCAAGTTGGCGCGCTGCAGGGCCAGGTGTCTGCGTGATAGAGAGCACCATGCCCTGGAGCCTGTCACGGCTGCTGCGTTATGTGCTCGTTTCTTTCTTCAGACAGATTGAGCAGCTGTTGGAGCTGCTGACGACCGAGATCCTGCACCCCGATAGCCAGGCCCCCAACGGGGTGAAGAGTCACTTCATCGAGATCTTCCTGGAGGAGCTGGCCAGAGTGGGCGCCAGTGAGGTGAGGGGGCGGGGGCGGTGGGCTGGGCAGGGTTGGCAGCTGAGCTCCTCCCTGGGTGTCGGTGAATGAGGGCCTGAGGCAGCTCCCGCTTACCTTCCCCTGCAGCTGACGGCAGACCAGAACCTCAAGTTCATCGATCCCTTCTGCAGAATCGCTGCCCAGACTAAGGAGTAAGTGGCAGGGGCTCCCTCTTGCCGGCTCTTCCTTTGCACTGAGTTCTTCAGGGACTGTCTTTGGGAAGTTGCTGTTTCCTTTTGGGAAGAGGGTACGAGCTGTGTCCACAGGACAGATCCACTGGAGGGGCCGTTGGCCGCGGTGTGGGAGAGATGCTCACAGGAGGCAGCAGGCCTTTTCCTGCGGGCCCTGCCTAATGCCTGCCTTCGTGCCTGCCTCCCGTTCAGCTCCCTGGTTTTACATAACATCAACCGAGGCATCTTTGAAACGATTGTGGAACAGGCCCCGCTCGCCATTGAAGACCTAATGAACGAAATGGAGGATGAGGAAGACGAGGAGGAGGAGGAAGAGGGGGAGATGTCAGAGGATGATGGGCAGGAACAGGGCGTGCCGCCCAAGAATCTGTTTGAGAAGCCCCCTGAAGGTGAGGCTTACAGTGTGCTCAGTACGACAGGCCTGCCCCCTCTGCGCACCTGCCCTGGGCCTGTCTGGTCTTGTTTCTGCCTTTTCCCCCAAAGTCTGTTCTTGGCCTGATGGCCAACATGTCCTTTAAAAACAAGCACCATGTCACTCACTCTCCTGGCCCTCGCTGCATGTGTGCCATCCTGACTCCCCCGGCCCTCTCTCTCTCCCACCGGTCTCCACCCTGTCCCTCCGGGGGCCCTCCCCTGACCGCCCTGCTTGAGGCGAAGCCTCCCAGCCCTCACCCTGCCTCACTTGCTGTCTCACTTCCTGGCATAACCCAGTCCTCGTCACACAAATCCCTGTGCATTGTTCCCGGCCCATCTTTCCCACTGGATGTCCACTCCACCAGGACAGGGAGCTCTATTGACCATCGATGTGGAAGCCTGTGCCAGGATCTGCTCCTTTTTAAGGCCGAATGGTGTTCTGTTGTGTGGATGGACACTTTTTTGTTTGTTTTTAAAAAAATATATTGATTTTTTACAGAGAGGAACGTAGAGGGATAGAAACATCAATGAGAGAAACATCAATCAGCTGCCTCCTGTATACCTCCTACTAGGGATGTGCCCGCAACCAAGGTAGTTGCCCTTGACCGGAATCGAACCTGGGACCCTTGAGTCCACAGGCTGACGCTCTATCCACTGAGCCAAACAGGTTAGGGCAGTAATTCTATTCTTAATTTTTGAGAAACCACTGTGCTTTTTCCAGAGTTGCTGTACCATTTTACCTTCCCACCAACATTGCACACGGGCTCACACATCCCACATCCTTGCCAACACTCGTCATTTTCTGGGTTTTTTGATAGCCGTCCTCATGGGTGTGAGGTGGTGTCTGGTGGTGGTTTGGAGTTGCATTTCCCTAAGGATCAGTGACGTTGAGCATCCTTTTGTGTCCTCGTTGGCATTTGTATGTCTTTGGAGAAGAGTCTGTTCAAGTCCTCTGTGCCTTCTTCATGGATGGTTTTGTTGAGTTTTAGGCGTCCCCTATATATTCTGGATACTAACCTTTTCCAGATGTATGATTTGGAGATAGCTGTTCCCATTCTGAGCTGTTTTTGCTCTATCGATAGTTTCTTCTGATGCACAGCATTTAAAAATTTTCAAGTCCATTTTGTGTATATGTTCTCTTGCTGTCTGTGCCTTTTGTGTAACTCAGTACCACATGCAGTGCTGTGAAGCTTTTGTCCTGTTTTTTCCTAGGAGTTTTATTAGTTTAGCTTTCTGTGTAGGCTATGGGTCCATTTGAGCTAGTTTTCGTATGTGGTGGTAGGGAAGACCCAGCTTCTCTCTTTCGCTTGTGATGGCCAACTTCTGGCACCATTCCCTGAAGAGACGGGTCCTGGCGCCGAGTGGAAGGTCATTTGACCATAAATTAAGGGTTAATGTCTCCCTCCTCCGACTCTTAATGCCTTGCTGGCCTGCTCCTTGGCTTTCTTATTAATCAGCACTTCCCTTTCATGTTCTCTGGCCATCCCTCATCTCGCCTGTCCCTCCCTTTCTCTCACTCTAAGCACCTGAGAGGCCCTGGCCCAGACAGACCCAGGAGTCTCCTGACTTGCCTGCCCGTGCCCACCTGTGCCTGCTTGCAGCCTCTCTGTCCTCATCTGCAATACACACCTGCCCCCACGGCCACCTGTGGTCCTGAGGTTTCTCTGTAGGCAGTGACGTGAGAGCCCCAAATGTTCTGAACATCGTCTCTGTAGGCCCGCCTTATGGCTGGACTAGCTGCCCTTCTCCCTGGCGTCTGGAACTCCGGAACTCTGGCAACTCTGGCACCCACTTACCTAAAACGTCACTCGTAATTCCCTCTGAATCTCCCTCCTCAAGGACCTGTCAGGCCTTCACGTCCTCTGGGGCGTCTCCCTTGTTTCCAGGCCCGTGGCGGCCCTACTTCCCTCAGCGTGAGGCTGTCGGGGTCCCCCACTGTCTCGGGCTGTGGGCTCCCACAGCCGCACCTGTGCACTCTGGGCCTGGCAGAGGGCAGCTTCCCATTGTTTGAGTTGATGCGGCTCTTTCATTCCAGGCTCCCGTGGGGCTGCCCCGGGCCTGGCTGAGGAGCAGGGCGAGGACGATGAGGACGGCACTGGCGCCGTCCTTCAGGTGGGTGTCCTGGGCTGTGGGCTGAGCTCAGCTGACCGGAGCTGGCAGAGCTGGAGGGGAGGAGGCGCCAGGAACGGGAGGGCAGCCGTTGGCTGGGACTTAGGGGACCCTGCGTCTGCCAGAGCACAAATCCTTGAAAATGGGTTGGGAGGGCAGCCGTTGGCTGAGACTTGGGGGACCCTGCGTCTGCCAGAGCACAAATCTTTGAAAATGGGTTGGGAGGGCAGCCGTTAGCTGAGACTTGGGGGACCCTGCATCTGCCAGAGCACAAATCCTTGAAAACGGGTTGGGGGCCGGGCACCTGGAGACTTCACCGTTGTCAGCTGCCCAGTCCCAGGACTGCCCACCGCCTCCTGGGGCTGGGCCAGTGAGGACCTGTGATTTCAGGCGAATTGGGAAATGTGGGATAATTACAACTTTTCAATATTGATTACTTCGGAAATTAGTAAGATTTTAGATACCTTGATTTAGATAAAATTTATCAAGTTTAATTTTACTTGTTTTCCTGTGGCTACAAGAGGAATTATATTTACACATTGCGTCGTTCCCTCCCCCTTTCCCCCTCAATTCTTTTGGGGGAGGCACTGTCCTGGAGTGAGCTGTTCAGTCACCTTTGCTGAGGGGAGAGCAGGTGCTTCTCTCCACTTGCTCACACCCTGGCAGCACCTGGCACTGACCGGCTCTTTGTCTCCCTGTGTCTCCTTCTGAAACAGTTTGACTACGAGGCTGTTGCTAACAGGCTGTTTGAAATGGCCAGTCACCAGAGCACCCCTTCTCAGAACAGGAAGCGTCTCTACAAAGTGATCCGAAAGTGAGTATTTCTCTGAAGCTGGCCCGTGTTCTCCCCACTGCCCCGGTGGCCCCTTCCCTCTCAGGCGGCCTCAGCGGGTGGGGCGGGGCAGGACTCCACTTCAGAGTTCAGGCGGCGCGGGGCCTCACCGAGGGCCACCGTGCTGCCCCCCGGGACGCAGGAGTACCGCCTCCTTCCTCCTGCGGGATCGCAGCCATGGGGAGTGACTGTCTCTTGTTCTTCAGGTTGCAGGACCTCGCTGAAGGTGAGCACCGGCCCGAGCACTGAGACCCACCACAGGGAGAAGGCATCTGTCCCCTTCTCTCGGGAGAGCGGTCTGCAGAGAGGGGTGCTGGGGTTCTGCAGCTCGTCTTAAGTTCTGGGCCTGGGGTAGCATGGGGCCCAGGAGCCTGCATTTCTAGTAAGTTCCCAGCTTGCTAAAGCTGCTGGTCTGCGGCAGACCTCTCCATGTCCTGGTGTGTGGTTCATGGAACTGGTACGGTCTCTTTTGCAGCCAGTTTTCTGGAAGGCTCATGATTGGACATGTAGCATTTCCCCCGCCAGCATTTCATTACAGACATATTTACACATATAGCAGAGTTCAAAGGATTTTACCCACCACCTTGACTCTGTCATCATTATTTCACTGTCCTTGTCCCATCATGAATCTGCCCATTGAGTCCTCCCGAGCCGCTCCCCGCATAAGCGTTTTAAAGAAGTAGGCCTGGCATCCAACATGTTCCAAGAGCAGGCTCTTCCCCGTTGTGCCGACTAGGGTTTCGGGCTGGCTGAGCTGTGGTGGGCGAGGAGCAGGGCCTCCTGGCATAAGCTTGGGGAGGGCTGCTTGCTGGGTCACAGGGAGCAGAGAGCTCACAAAGGAACGGCCTGCCCTCAGCCCTGCCCTCTGTCTGCCTGGTCCGCAGGCCTCTTCCCTGAGGAGGACATCCCGGAAGAAGCCCACAGGAAGCTGCGGGAGGGGAAGAAGGGGAGGAGGGCGAAGAAGCGTTCGCCCAAATCCCAGCTGCAGAACAAGACAGGTAGGACCAGTGCCTGCCGACGTGGAGGCGCTTACACACTTGTAAAGGGAACTCACCTGTCACTGTCTCCGGGGGTGGCCTCCAGGTGTGCCCCCTCCTGCCTGCCCGGGATGCCCTGCAGCAGCAGACTGCCCTGTGCAGCCGGCACTCAGCTGGCCTGGCTTCCGGGCCACTTGCCATCTTCCCCGCTCTCCTTGTCTGCAGTTTCGGTCTGTGCCGCTGCTGCCCGGTCCTTTTCATCTTGGATCTGTGTGCATCTGAGGGTTCGGACCCATCCACTCCTCATCCTCAGTGTCCTCCCGAGACCAGTTCGCCTGACCGCTCTCCTTGATTCTAGAGGCTTTCCTTCCCCTCCCCTCTCCTTCCCCCTCCTTAGCTGTCCACACAGTTATGGTGAGAATGTGACAGCCTCCCTAAGGACGACTCTGCTGCTGTCTCCCAGGCCCTGGGCCACTGCAGACCGCCAGGCATGGGCTGCCTGTTGCAGTGAAGGGCCGTGCCCTTTTGAAAGGCCTCCCAATTCACTGCTCTGGCCAAGGTCCCGCCGTTCATACCGTTTCACATCTGGGCCTTGCGGCAGGCGCAGGGCCCACTCAGCACCTACTCCAGCGGCCCCCAATGCCATCTCATGGCTCTGGTGCACCAGGCTGAGTCCCTGCTCCCGGCCCTGCTCTGAGCCTGGCCCTTCTGACCAGCATCACCTCCAGCCCCAGTGCACCCGCCCCTGCCATGCCTTTGCCTGGATCCTGTGCTCACCGTTCTTTGTGAGGCTGCCTCCCTGTTGGCAGGAGCCAGCGTGTCCACACGGTGCGGGCCCGCCTGCTGGTGTGTGTCTGCGCCTGAGGCTGTCGGTGCTTCTGTGCCTGGTGTTCTCGTGTCCTCTGCATTGCAGTGGAGCAGCCCAGGCCTTCACACACCTCATCATGTGGCCTTGCTGTTTTAGGGAAAGGTGAACAGGAGGACCCGTGTGCCAACCTGAGTTCCAGAGTGGAGAGAAAGAGGCGACATCGGGGCCCAGGGGCTGACCCCGCTGCGCCCCAGGAACAGCCCGGGGGCCGGGGCAGGAGAGGAGTACGCAAGAGGCGGCGGCAGCCTCCGGCAGGGCCCAGAGCAAAGGTGCCTGGGTGCCGGGAGCCAGGCGGGAAAAAGAAGCGAACACGGGAGAGCAAGAAATGACGTGGCTGGACCCAGCCCCGAGGACAGCGCCGTCTCCACCACTCCTCCCGTCTGCGCTGTGTCGAGTGAGCAAACAGGACAGGTGGGCCGTGCTCCCAAGGCTCCAGACATGCATGGTCAGCACTAAGTGAGGCTGGCTCTCAGTCAGTCATGCCCCAGAGAGCACTGCTGCTGTGCTGACTCCTGTCAGGCAGGACCCCGCAAATAACCCTCCCTGGCAGGGCCGGGGACTAGCCACGCAGCGGGCGGCTGTAAATAAAATGCTACGCGTTCTTAGAAATGGGAGTCCCGCCCTGTCTTCTTAAGCTGGAAGGTTCCCGTGGGGTGAAATGATAGGTGCGGGCTCCTGAATAGTGCACTGGTGGGGTCCCTCGGCATAGCCTGCAGGAGATCAGGCTGAAACTGGCAGTCCAGTGCCGCCTGCCGCTCCTGTCTGCTGCTCCTGCTCATCTCGGCCCCGATTCGCCTGCCACCACCATTGCTGCTGCTCCACTGTGGTCTCCGGGCTGCAGCAGAGCGGCTCTGTGTCTGGCACCCATTGGTCAACTGAGCAGCGCTCCCACACCAGGGGGCAGCTCCTGTGTCGAGTGTTCCCTGGTGGTCAGTGTATGTCATAGTGACCGGTCATTCGGTTGTTTGGTTGCTTAGGTTTTTATATATATATATAGATATATAGATACCCATTTTTGTGGGTAAAATGGTTTATTCATTGCTCAAAATCTGGGAGAGGATGCCAAGTGCTGGTAGTGGGTTTCTGGACAGGCTGTTACTCTCCACCTTATAGACTGTGTTTAGTGCTTGGGGTTGATGTGCCTGAGGCAGGCAGAGTGGCTCCTCTGCCCACCTTCGTCTCTGTGACTTGCCCATTCCCCATACTTCTTTCTTTTAAAGTTTTTATTGATTTGAGAGAGGGGAAGGTAGAGAGAGAGAGAGAGAGGGAGGGAGGGAGAAATTGGTGAGAAAACCATCAATCACCTGTCTCCTGCATGCCCCCTACTGGGGATTGAGCCTACAACCCAGGCGTGTGCCCTGACCGGGAATCTAGTTGGTAACCTCTTGGTGCGTGGGACAACAGCCACTCTGGCCAGAGCTGTTCCCCATACTTCAGCGCCTTCAGATTGTCCCAGAGGTCCGTCCAGGAGGGTCGGAGTGGCTGTATGTTTGCTGGACCCTGACCAGAGTACCATGAAGGGAACCTCCCGGGACAAGCCCTGGCTCCTGAGTACCAATGAGGGGAAACAGGGATGTGAAGTAGTGCCGTGTGGCTCCCCGTGGCCTCCGAGCAGGGCTACAGCCATCACCGCAGACGTCACGTGGGCACTATCTTGGGCTCAGTGCACATCCTGTGTTCCACCGGCATCCAGGCCAATTGGGCCACTGCTGGCCAAGGCGTGCGGGTGAGCCAGCAAGAGGACCGCCCTGGGAAGACCCACCGAGGCTTGAACTGAACCCAATTTCCAAAGCCCTGCTGCCTGAGCACATCGCCCACCCAGGGGAGCCAGGGCCATGTGGGTCCCCTTCCATTCTGGCTGCTGGGCAGGTGAGGCTGGCTAGGGGAGCAGGGTCGGGACAGGAAGAGGCAGCACGCAGCAGAGTCATCAGTTCACAGTTCCCTGTCCCCAAAGAGACAATTTCGTTGTTTCTGTTGAAATTCCTTTAGTCACAGTAAGGGAACAGCGCGGCTGGAGTTGCTCAGCAGTTGAGTGTCCACCTGTGCACCAAGATTTCCGGGCCGGGCAGGATTTCTCCCTCTCTCTCCCTCTCCCTTCCTCTCTCTCTAAAAATCAATAAAAACATTTTAAAAAAAGAAAAAAGTAAGGGAACCAGCCATTCCATAAATCTATCTGATTGCAGGTCCTACACCAGAGCCCTTCCTTGCTGCACCACCACCATGGTTTGTTACTGTCTCCCCAAGGATTTACAGCATTTATGACATTGTGCTCCTGGCATAATGGCATCACTGTTAGAGTGCCAGCGGCTGCTGTGGACAATGGGCACTTCCCCCCCGTCAGGAAACGTTCTCATTGGGCAAAGTGGCAAAACCTTGAGAGGAAGCTGAATGTGACCATCAACCACTGTCCCCCAGGAAAGCTTGTGTTCAGAAGTTGGCATTGATTTTCTTTCCTGTTCTCTTTAATGAGAAATCGTTTACATGCCATGCAGTTCCCCCACCCACAGTGGACAGGTTTGTGCTTTTATTTTTATTTAAAAAAATATATTTTATTGATTTTTTTACAGAGAGGAAGGGAGAGGGATAGAAAGTTAGAAACAGCGATGAGAGAGGAACATCGATCAGCTGCCTCCTGCACACCCCCCACTGGGAATGTGCCCGCAACCAAGGTACATGCCCTCGACCGGAATCAAACCCGGGTCCCTTGAGTCCACAGGCGCTATCCATTGAGCCAAACCGGTTTCAGTAGGTTGGTGCTTTTAGTGTATTCAGTCACCACAGTCAATTTTAGGACATTTTCACCCCAAAGGACATGGTTAGCTGTCACCCTCCCAGTCCCTGGCGACCACTGATCTTCTGTCTACAGATTCCCTGATTTGGACTTTGAAATAATTGGCGTCGTACAGCGTGGTGGTCTGTGTCTGGCTTCCTTCACTCGGCACGTTTTCAGCGTTCATCCACGTTGTCTGTGTCAGAATCTCGTTTGCCAGTGGCTGGATGACATTTCCCTTGTGGAGATGGGCCACACGTTAGTTTACTCATTTGTCCCCAGGGATTGCCTTCATCCTTTCCCTGCCCCTGGTTACGGGAGTAACGCTGCTGCGAGCGCTCACACACAGGTTTTTGCGTGGCCTTGCATGTCTCCTTTATATCTAGGCGTGGAGCTGCTGGGCCAGGAGGCAGGAGGTGACCATGTTTAGTGTGAAGAAATGCCAGTCACATGGCCACACCAGTTTATGTTCCCACCCTGGGGTTGGGGTCCCTCTCCAGGTGTGACCTCCTGGCGCAGCCTCAGGGGAGCACTTGCTGGTGCTCCTTAACCGGTAAGCTGTGGTGTGGCCGGCACAGTGGTGCCGCTGGCCGGAGCGCTGGTGGTCCAGCAGAGCCCTCTGCTCACCACAGGGCTAACCCCTGCGGAGGGGTGCGCACTGAGGAGGCCCACCCCTGGCTCCTCCCATCCCTGCCCCAACTGGTCCCTTTTAGGACCCCGTGAGGTGACTCTTAGGAGACTTGGCTCAACCAAGTGTGTGACCTTGAGCTGCAACCACTGAACCCTCACTTACTGACCAGTAAAATGGGAATAATGAGGCTGTGATGAGGATTGTGTTGCTTTCCTTTTTGAAACAGAAACAAGAAAGTTGCAAGTAGAGAGGTTCTCGCCCCTTCCCCAACTGTCACAGTATGTGCTGCCTTGATGTGCGTCACCCCAAAGACTTAGGGTGAGTTTCCTGCAACAGTGATACACGTTAACCACAAAGCAACCATCCAGTCAGAATAGCACAGGCCCCTCACTGACGCCTAACCCACAGGCCTGATCAGGGGCCCTTTTCAGCCCGCTGGGAATGGGTTTTGTGTCTTTAGTCCCTGCCATGGGCCAGTTCCTCTGCCTGACATTTGAGATCTCGGGTCCATGATGCAGCACTCCCTGCTGTGGGTCTCTGAAGTTACCCCTTGTCTGGACTCGAGATCTCTGGGCCAGGAGCACCACAGAAAGCAATGAGGGCCCGTGTCCTGCCTGGGCTGCATCCTGCAGAAGGTCTTGGGGAAGTGGTTGAGTGGTGGTGTGGGGTAGTTGACCTACATTTAGTCGTTGACCTACATCATGGCTGTGGTTTCTTGTTTATTCAGTGGATTTCAGTCCATTACTATCACTTGTACCAGTTTGGCCATGGGAGTCTTTAGGCTGGCTCTGTTCTCTTTAAGGAGTCCCACAATGCCCTGAGCATTCTTTGCTTTAATTTTTCTTAATTCTATATTTTATTGATTTTTTACAGAGAGGGATAGAGAGCTAGAAACATCTATGATAGAGAAACATCGATAAGTTGCCTCCTGCACACCCCCTACTGGGGATGTGCCTGCAACCAAGGTACATGCCCCTGACTGGAATAGAACCTGGGACCTTTCAGTCTGCAGACCAACGCTCTATCCACTGAGCCAAACCGGTTTTGGCATTCCTTGCTTTTATTAGTATAAGAAGCCCAGGCCCCTCTAGATTCCAGTCTGGAGTCAGGCTGACCACTTTGATTCCACAGTGAGGCCGAGGGTGGGGGTGGAAAATCAGGTAGCAGCTGGGCCCAGGCTGCATGGGAGGGGCCTCATTAGGAGAGAGGGGCGAGGAGGTGGGGAAGGCCTGTGTGCTGGGCAGGGCGTGAACCAGATGGTTTTGGACTCAACCCTCCAGTAGCTGGTTGGAGGGTGAAACTGGGGACAGTCCTGCCAGCAGCCCCAGTGTGGATACTCAGACCAATGTTTTGGGGAGCGCCAGCTTTTCCACAAACGGCCTTACAAAAATGGCCTTTTCATTACCTAGGGCCAGGCGGCAGGAGACTGTCCTTGGCCGGAAGTTAAATGGGCAGCAAGACTCAAGACCCAGCCTCCAGGTGGCCCGTCTTGAGGCCTGGTCTATGGAAGCAGCAGGGGAGGGGCAGATAAAGGGGAGATGCCACTCCCCATCCAGGGCCCTGCACCAGCTGGAGGAAGAGGTGCCTTAGTGGGAATCCATGTCAGGTGGTCAGCTTCAGCCCGAATGCAAGGGCCGAGGGAGGGGCCCAGCTCACAGTCCGGAAGGACCAGTTAAATCTCAGATGGGAACAGTCCCCTGGACTTTCATACTGCGAGAACAGGCCAGTCAGCTGACCGCTGGGTCAGGCTCGGAGACTAGATTGAAATGGGCCACTTGGCCTGTAAGCCGGGCCAAATGTGTTTCCCACACTGGCTTTGGCTGGAAGGCGCTGTCTCCGGAGGTGCCACGTCTCCTTCCTGCAGCCGGCGGGGCGTTTGGCGGGTTCCCTCTCAGATCCGGCCTCCTGGCGCGAGGATTTCTTTTGGCTCCGCCTCCTGAGCTCTTTCTTTGCTTTGAGCTGGTTGGTGGCTAGCCAGACATGTCCACTCAGGTTGTGCTGCAGATTGTCTGGCCCCACAGAACTGCCTGTGGGCGTGTTTGCAAATGAACAGGCAGTGACATCACTGTCCATCCATTTGTCCACCTCTCTAGCTGCCCACCTACTCACCTATCCTCTCTTCCTACCTGTCATTCATCCATCACCTCTGCCTGCCTGCTTATCATCGGCCACTTCACCCCCCACCGCCTCCTCCTCCTCCTCACCTTA